CTGAGAGGCTGTTAGCTGTGGAGTCCTGAAAATTCATATTATCATGGTCTTGGCGTCGCGTGTCCGTCATCCACCAGGGTCCGCGACGCGCGATAGTGTCTGAGGGTTCATTTGCCAGAACCATCGAGCACGCGCACCACGAGCACGTAGCCTTCCTGTAGCCGCTTACATCGCGGCAATGGCTTTGTGGAGCTCGCACGATAGGCAGGTACGTTTGGGCTTCTAAAGTAAACTGTTCCGGTCACTTACAGTTGTGGTTGGTGACAGTCGATGCAGAACAACTTCAGAAAGCCATGGCAAAAGTCGAAATAGGTCGCACACACAAATTTCTACAATGAAGCCGAACAATTCGCCGAGCACATGCGGACACGACACTTCTAGTAAATGCCACCTAGCGTACACTTCCTGTTTTATATGGGAATGCATTTCTTAGTCGGGCTGTGTTAGCCATCTGTCGAGATCCATCCACCACCCTCTCCCGTAGTAATAGCTGCGGGCGCGCAAGTCCCTCAGCCACCCCCCCCCCCCCCCAAGTCACGCTTCGGCATCGGCAACTGTCAGCAACAGCTGCGGGCGCGCGCGCTTATCCTCGCCCCTAGCGACTGGGGCCCCCACATGACTTGCCACCGCCTCGATTCAGTGCGTTTGAAACGCCTTTGCAGCGTTTTTGCAGCGTTTGTGTAGAATTTCGGTTCATAAGACGCGGACATTATGGCCGTCAGGTACAATGACAGGTGCAGTGCTTCGCTGCTCCTTCTCTTGCCATTCGCTTTCTCTCCTCCCTGCGCCCCATTTTCTCGTCCGCTCACGTCTTATTCTCGACCATATGGGTGCTAGGTGCCTCTTAACATCCGGAAGTGTATGTTCAAAACGGCGCTGTGTAACGCCAACGCTGAACCAAGAAGGCTTTTTTTTGTTCACTGTTCGAGTACGTGATGCCTGCTTAAGTACGTGATGCCTTTGGTGGGACGTTCGAAGCGCGTGTTCAAGATTTTGCGCCCCGAGCTTAGGTGGCAAGTTAGGCTGATGTTTGACTGGATAAAAGTGTGCTGCTTTAGTAAGAGACAGCCTGGTGCTGCGCACCTAGAACTTCAACGCCTAAGGATTTTGGCTGCTCAAACAATAGAATATCAGTGGGAACGGTGTCTTCAGGTGCTTCTCAGGCGTAGAAAAAAGGATATCCGAACAGGCAGGATTACAAAGGTGGGTCACGTTCAAGTACCAGAGGAGGTGGCGTGTGCACTTAACAATGAGCCAACATTTAGATTTCAGCCTACCATTCTCGCGCATGAGATACTTTTCTTGAACAGACACATGGCCAGCAGGGCTAAGCCTGAAGACCAGGAGAGGTGCGTTCAGGATGGAACGTTCAGGATGGAGAATCGTAATGGTCGTGATTCCATGGTAGGAGTGGTGTGCTTTTTCAGGAAGAATGATTTGCGCGTTCTACTGTCGGACAAAGAAGGTAGATTTGTGCTCATGAAGAAAGGGGTCTTCAAAGGCAAGGCCACTAACGACATACAAAAAAAAACTTCAATGAAGTGCGCGTTTTCGCCCCCAAGTTGAAGTCTAAGGCTGTTTCCTTGTGTAATGACCACGGCCTGACTAGGCTGGTAAAGAGTATTAGTGAGTGCAAAAGAGAGAAGCTGTCTATGTTTTTTAGCGCGAAAACTCACAAACCAGAGATGCCTTTTAGGACCATTATCAGCAAAAACAGTACGTGGCAGGTAATAGTGAGTCGTTACCACTTGAAAATTTCAACAATTTTTGTTAAACGACCTGTTCGCTGTTAAACATTCTTGTGACATAATTGAGTTTCTTCAAGACAGCAGCTCTGTAGGACATTTTTTCCTCTCTCGGTGTCGATGATCTTTTTTATTCTGTACCACACAAGGAGTTACTCGGGTGCGTGCAGTCCTGCATAGAAAAAAAATGGGTCTGTGTACTTCATAAAACACGCCGGAGTTCAAGCAGACGGCTTTTTGGCCCTCTTGAAATTTATCTTGGAGCAACGTTCATTTCTTTCGAAGACGAGTTGTTTGTACAAAAGGAAGATATTTGTATAGTTATGTAGAGCCCCTGTGTTGTGCAGTATCTTCCGGGCTCAGATTGGCCGACATCTGGACAATGTTGTGTCCAAAGACAAGGTGTTAGGCATTTTTAAGTACGTGGACGTTTTTTTTTAATACGTTTCTTGACAAACTTCGGGGACTTGGAGCGTATCTATCTATCGATCTATCTATCTAGCAGCCTGCAACATTTAGCTCTCCTGGCCGTTTTGTTAATGGTATCAATACCAAACCTGGTATGATTTAACATGTCTGTATTATGAACATGACTGACTGGTCATAACATGAAAATCATGAGATGTATGTCATAAACGTCATGATTTATATTGTCAAGGTCTTGCTGCTCTTGCGTTGGTTTCATTCGCATGATATGTTGCAAAACTGGTATGGTATGACATGACTGCATGGAGAACACAAGCGACAGACCCTAACATCAAAATCATGAGAGGCGTGTCACGTAACAGCATTGCTATATGCCACACTCATGATGTGCTCGCGGCCATTCGCCAAGCTTTGCCTACACCGAATTAGGTATTACGGGACATGAATGAATGACGAAGGTATGTGACATATGTATGTGAAGGTATGATATATATGTCATAATTTACATTTTATGTTCTTGATGCCCTTACAGTGGTTTCGTTCCCATGACTTTTCCAGAACTAATATGGTATGATGTGACTGTATAGCGAACGTAAGTGACTAACACTAACGTGGAAATCATAATATGCATGAAATGATTTTTCTTCTAGGACTAGTCATGACTAGACGCCACGCTCATGGTGCGCTCGCGGTCGTTTCGCAAAATAGCTTCACATATACCGAATCTGACAGTGATATCTGGGTTTTAACGTCCCAAGGACACCACATTATTATAACAGACGCCGTAGTAGAGGGCTCCGGAAATTTCGGCCACCCGGGGTTCTTTAACCTGCACCGAAATCTGAGCACACGGGCTACATTCCCGCCTCCACCAGGAACGCAGCGGCCGCCGCCGCGATTCGCTCCCGTGACCTGCGGGTCAGCAGCCAAGTACCGTAGCCATTAGACCACCGCGGCGGGGCAGCGAATATGATAATACGTGACGTTAATGGACGACGAAGACGAGTAAAATGGCTGGACATGATTATCATGACATGCGTGTCATTTAAAACATGATTACTAGCTACGCTTATAGCGTGCTCGCGATCATTTCGCTAGCTCCACATATACGAACTTTGGCAGCACGTGACGTGAATAGACGACGAAGGTGAATGACACGCCTAATCATGATAATCTTGATATGTGTGTCATGTGAAACATTATTACATGCTATGCTCATAGCGTGCACGCGGCAGTTTGGCTAGCTTCCATTGGTATGAGGTGACGTGAAGAGACAGGGAAGGCAAATGAGACGTCGAAACTTGATAATCATATTATGCGTGTCATGTAAAACATGACTACATGCTACGCGCATTGGGTGCTCATGGCCGTTTCGCTAGCTCCTCATATACGACATTTAGTATTACGTCGCGTGAATGAACGATGAACGTGAATGACACGTTCAAACACGATAATCGTGATATGCGTGTCATGTAAAACATTTACATGCTACACTCATGGCGTGCTCGTGACCATTTCGCTAGCTCCACATATACGAAATTAGGTATTACGTTCCATGGACAAACGACAAAGGTAAATGACCCACCTAGGCCAGATAAACATCGCATTGAAGTCATGTACGGCATAATTTATGTCAACCTCATAACATTCTGCCCATTTTAAGCGGCGTATCAAACTTCCTCATTCGCGCTTTGCATACCATGGATCGGTACAGTACATGGGATCTGCTAATTTTTTTTTATTAGGGGCTGACTACACCTCAGTCCTACATGCACTGGCTTGCTACAGCGGTAAGTTAGTTTTGTAATCGAGATCGATCGAAATAAAGTCACTGAAAGAGCGCTTTCGCAACGTTCACGAGCAGCAAACTTGCTCTATGTGGGCATTGAGGCTTAGCTTGACGATAGGCGTACCGAAAAATGTAGGCTTAGCATGAAAAAATTTAGGCTTAGCTTGACAATAGGCATACCAATTAACCGTGGCACAGTAATAATGGGCTCAAAGTCTGGCAATAAAAAATTTAATGTGACCATGGCGCAGTGGTTACCATGTCCGGCATCTGTTATCGGTTACCGAGATGTTGTGGGTTCGACTCCCACTGACAGAGCTTTTTCTTTGCCTTCTGATAGCGTTTGTTTTTCCAACTCCATTTCCATGTCGAAAATACGTTACCGAATTCCGGGTGAACCACGGCATAAAGCACTTTTGTGTAAAATTTAGCATACGCTCCAGCATTATGTGGTTTGCGTTGCAACTAATATGGTGAAATAATACATTTTAGCCTCCCACTGCTGAGACCTATAGTGCGCACGTTAATGGCGGTTTGGTTACCCAGCTATGAACAACCAATTCTCACATTCGCATGATTCCTAGATACGTGTATGTGTATAAAATTGGTGCTCATGTTTACTAAGTATTTCATCCGACCGCCTCGTAACGTTGTGCTTGTTTTAAAAGTGCCACTTAGAACAATTTTTGATGCATGTTTCGCACATTATTGATCACCAAGGTATGTGCGATCTGCCGAACGTTTTAGTTTTTCAAGTGGAACTCGAAATAGAAGTAATGGAGAGGATGATCATGTGCCACCCTTGTGTCGTTTTCATCTTCAACGTAGTCCGCCCCTTGGGTCAAGTCGTTTGCCGAACCAATATTTTGAAGCCGTCTTCGGAAGCAAGGGTAAATTAGCTGCTGCATGCAGTGCCATGATATGCCGCTCGCATTTTTAGAGGAGCCTTCACTGTTGATCGGCAGATGCTTTGAGGGCTCCCCATTGCAAGGCTGTGCAGGACAGTTTTAAGCAACGAAGGACTCGGCCAGTGAGCTTACCTCTAGGTCGCCGTCCCCGCTGCTTCTTCGGCTGCCAGTGGAGCCAAACAACACCTTGAAAGCCATGTCGGTGAAGTAGTTGACCACGACGCGGGCCATTTTGACAAAAACTTTGTCCCACTCGGCCGCCTCGAACACCCTCAGCAAGCTTGAAAAAACTCGCCCTTCAGGCTGCGCCCCCGCTGGCCACACGAGCCGATCCACTGGCGCTGTGGAACAAAAAAGCCCGTCATTCACCCTCCCAATGCGCATACGATTCAGAGTGCCATTAGGAAACCATGGCGACAAAATGAAAAGAGTTCACTGGCAACACACGCGCCGTTTCCATACCAACTCGCGCATGAACGTCGGGAGAGGTGTGCTAGCAGTCCCTCCTGTGTCCGCATTCCACCTCTTTCTTTTCAATCACTGACGCCGGCAAGGGTAGGTCAGTTAACAAACAGTGTTTATGCTGTTAAGGAGTCTTTGGGGTAATGATTACTACTAAAGCAAAAACGTCAGGACTCTCCCTTGCCGGTTTTACTTCAATATCTAAAGTAAGTGGCTAGATTGGCCCCTGGGTGCAAAGACGTAGGGCGTAGGGGGGGGGGGGGGGGCTGTGCTTACCTTCAGAACTTAACATAAAATTCTTATATGCAGCAGTGATAACATATATATAAGGCTTCATTAGCGAACCCAAATCTAGCATATTTGTGTGAAAGGCCTTTCAAAGCCAACTTCTCAATTTACATAGTATGAACAGGTCCAAATCGTAACGTTAAGTGAAATAGTGTGGCTAATCTTTCCGGTCATGTAACAGCAGTGACAGAAATATGCGCTCCCTACGCCACCTTCCGGATGCATATTTCTGCAAACATTATTTATGCGTAGTCCCCGTACACGTCCAATTGCCATTCCTACATTGTTGGGCGAAGCTTGTCTTGACGCCTTCTTCGTCTTGTATCACGTTATTTCGCCTTCTCTATATTAACCCTACTTAACATTCATTACGTGTTTGTCGAGGCGTTGTACGAAAATGCGCCTCACTGTAAAATGCATTTTCTTCTTATAACTGAGCACCCTTCATCGGCGGTCATCGCAGAACGATGTGTTGCAACACAAGTTCAGAAAACGTATGAAAATTTGTGCTTGTGGGGGGAGAGAGGCGGGGGTGCTGATCGACGCACGTTTTGCACGCGGAATCTTAGCTGTATTTTTATTTGTTTTCTCTAAATGTTTTCAACCAGAAACTTAGGTAAATACTCATGAGAAGGCACTTCTCGTAATTTTTGCAGAAAAAGAACTTGAAAAGCTACCAGGAAACAGCACCAAAAAGAGACGAAGACTAAAAATCAAACTATACAAGCGTTGCATCAAGAGCAACTGCGTGCAAGTTGCATAGTCTCTCCTGCAATCGCGATTATGAGACTCCTAATTTGGGAGAGGACTAGGCTTGTGCGAATAGTGAATTTTCGGTTCGAAGCGAATTCGAAGCGAATAGTGATTTCGATCGAATAATTTCGAATCAAATTCGAATGGTAAGTATGACATATAAAAAAGGAAATATTTATCATGACAAAGCTAACCTGCACAATATTTTTTTTAAATTGAAACTGGGGCTCTATGCAAGTGCCATTTATTTTTTCGTTCAAAGGAAGTCAAAACAACCTTGAGTAGTAGTTTTGGTAGGATGGGAGCGATAACCTGTGAGACACCTTATGTTTTAAAATTTATTATACTAGGATTATATAAGCTGTCATAATAAGGTTATTAAAATGAAGAATTGATTTGACGATTAAATGTTTCTTTAAAGGGTCCCTGCAACACTTTTTCAAGTAGCCATGGAGCCAGTAAACAAGCTTGTTGCCTCACAAATTTACTGCAGCAATGTTTCTCGAATCAGTCCAGTATGAGCAGAGTTCCAAAATTGGCACACGTTGCATTCTCTTTTCTCGTCTTGACGAAATAGCTAGAAGCTAAGCAGGTAGGAGTGGCACGGCGAAAGAAAATACTCCACACGCAGCTCATGACCTTGAGCACCTCTTTTTTTTTCTTCGTATACGTGGCTTTTCAGTGCGATCACACACATACTCGTGGACAAGCGACGGCCCCGGTAACGACAAGCGCACCATGCTCAAATCAGCCAATGGCTGTGACCAGAGCCGTATATTTCTTCTTGGCTGTGACAAGTGATTTTTGAGCCTGCAGTGTCACTTCCCGAGAAAAGAAAGCAGTTTTTAGCTTTTAAAATTTATTGTGAATTACAGGCCACGTGCTGCGCTACAATATTTGCATCGCGTGTTTTCGGTAGCCTCGACTACCGATCGGCTGCGTTTTCTGACAATGTCCAGTTAATATTGCAATGCCCCTTTATATTTAATTGGGGGCTTCACGGCAAAACAAATATTCTTCAAAAAAAAAACGTTTTCACTGTTTAACACTCCAACAGTGCAGTGAGACAACCTCTACAGGCGGTGACCTGCAGATCAATATACACCTATTCGTTCATTGCGAACACTTCGAAAATATTCGGTAATTTAAATTCGAATCGAAGAGAATACAAATACTCAACTATTCGTTCGGATCTTCGAAGCATTAGAATATTCGCACTAGCCTAGAGAGGACAAAGGTCACCTCACGCGCTGCCGTGGCCAAGGAGCGCGCTGCAGACACACGACCACGGTAAGATAGAAACAATTTAGGTAAGGACACTCCGGCAATGTTTCGACCATGTCAAGATAATAGTGCTTCTGTGTTCCTGAGACACTCTTGTCACATGCCCGAGAGCTAATATGCTCAACAAGTTCGAAAATAATTTTTCATTACCGAAAACACGTATTACCGAAACCGAAATCTAACCAAGTGCACTTCTACGTGTGACGTAATTCTTTCTACGCACCTGCTCGATTGCACATAATGCCCGCCAGATGGCACTACCTATCCACGCGGTCCACTGCGATAGGCTAAAAGGCTAACGCTATTAGGCCCTAACCACATGCACGGGACTCCTTCGCGACAGCGCCAAACTACACCGACGAGCGACCAGATTTGCGGTCGCGGAGGCCCATTCGTTGCCGCCGCTTGTCGCGTCGCGCGTTTCTGGAAAACTAAAGATCTCTTGTCACCCGGAAACTAGCGTGGCGATTTACAGGACCTTTGGCCTCACTTCGGTTGCAATTTGCTCTCGATGCTTGTTGTCCGCGCGAACTTCCAAAAATGAAAGGTATCGGTTTTCGTCTGCACTTGGGCCCAATTTCAAACCCAACCCGCATCCGGAACCTTTTACGGCATTTTTAATCATGTCTTTTTGAGAGAAATTGTCCTAATTACATATCACACTCGATAATTAGTATGCATGGCGTACGACAAACGCAGCCCTACGAAAAAAGAAAGTATAGGCTCTACTACAAAATTTGCATGTTCGGCGTATGTGCGCCTCCCCCACGTGGTGGCAAGAGAAAAAAACAAAGACACACGCACACACACACAAACTAGTAAATACCTGGTAAGTGACCCCCGAAAGCCAGACAATGTAATAAGTGCTACAAAAGTTTTAACTGCTGCATCAATAATTATAAAAGCAAGCTTGAAACATGCAAAACCACTTATCTGCGCAGTCGATCGGGAGCGCTCAAAAAGCACGTCCAGACACCATGCCAGTCCCAACTCAACCACTGCGCGCTCAATGCGCCATCTTGCTGATGACGCTGAAAACACGATAGTTTTCTTATGGTCTGCGAAATTGGCGGCGCGGTTTTCTCCAGCCGTTCCACCCACCACGATCTCCAGAAAAACCAGCGAGTATCACCTTAAGCGTAGGGCTAACGTGAGGGGGCGTGTTTATTGTGGTTTCCTGGAGCGCTGCAGACCACGTCAGAAAGCAGAGCACGCGTGGTTTCAGCATGCGCATGTTTTTTTTTTTTTCACATGTTAGCGAAACTCACAGCCAAATCTTCTGGTTGCACTGAAGGCAAGTATTTGTTTCTGTTACTGCTTTTATTTTGGTCCATTTGGCGAATAAAACCATGGCAACTGCCTAATTTTTTGTATATATATATCAATGCAAGGAGAGATTATTTCGCCTAGGACAGAGGCATTCTAGCCTTCCCCCTTTCTAGAGACAAGTATGTGGGTGAAAACTCAGCTAGTTATTGTCATTCAATAACATTTCCCTCCTACTGTTAGATATCAATTTACTATTTTGTCACGTACAAATATTTGTCACGTGGTCAACCGAATGCCACTTACACTCTATATACTTAGGTGCGCTGATAGTGCCACTTAATAATGTGATAAATGATTTTTCTGAAATGTTGAAAAGCTACGATTAGCCGACCTATATTTACTCCCTACGTCCTTCACAGTAAATATTCATGACTTATCATCGTCTCCTTTTTTCGTCATCTGTATGTTTTAGTAGCACAATGGCAATATCAGTATCATGTTCATTTAAAGTAATGTCTACAGCATCCAAATCAAATGGTCCCACATGCGGCCGAATGGCGTCTTTAAGAATAAATATTGGTCGAGGTAGACTACTGAGGAATAAAAAGTGTGAACTGTCGCTGCTATGTAACACACAGTGTTTCATACCAGATACACAGAACTCTGAGCGCGTGCGGCGTTCTTCTTGAACAATCAAATTATCTCTATGTTCGTTCTTAGATTCCCAACATATCCACTGAACACAGTGCGAATGGGTGACCATAAATGACCAAAGCGCACATGTAGCCAGCCCGTGGTCGTCGTAGAGCCAGCGACGTTCAGTCTAGACCTCCTCCCTGTCTCCTGGTTCTGCGGTGCAACGGGAGGTAGTGGGAAGGAGAAACTGGGGAAGCTTCACGTGCGAGCGCAATGCGTTGTACGCTTTGAGAGCGCGGCTTTCGTGCCAGACTTCACGGCGTTGGCACATTGCAAGGACAGTGCAAGACAGTTACTGATGCTGGCATCGAATTTGGTCGGCTCGGCGACCGTTTCTCTCCAGCGGGTGTTATTTTAGAGGCGAAGCTTCTTATAGCGGCACCCGTTTGTCCCTCCTAGCCGTTGTAGTAGTGTGTAACAAGTATGACACTTTGACCTCCAAAATAGTGCCGGTAAGAGATTTCTTCTGTGCATTGTTGAACAATACAAGATAATGCTCAATCTACGTGCAAAGGGCTGCTAAAGGGAAATGAGAGATAGGAAAATTCGGCTTTTAGTTAACGCGCACGCTGCCAATTTTCGTTGTTCAACAA